AAAAAACTGTCCGTAGAATGCGATATATATGTATATATATATATATATATATATATATATACATATAATATATTTTTATTTTTCTGTAAAATGACTAAACTTCTGTTTTCTTTCTTCCTCTCCAGACAGTTGATCTATAACTATCCAGAGCAGCTGTTTGCTCAGGCTGGCGTTATGGCCATCGAGCACGCTGACTTCGCTGGCGTCGAGCGCCTCGCTCTGGTCACTGGTACGTAGACACAGTGATTAGATAAAGCCAATAGTGGACTAGACGTTGCACGTTTAAGATATTAAATTATTGAAATTATTGAAATATATAGATTTTAACAGCCGCCGGTTGAAGACCAATTTCTGCTCCAAACAATCGGAGAACCTCAGTGGAAATAATTCAATAACGCCAAATCATAACACATTGTATTTGATGTATTTTGGCCCTTGTTGACAGCACCAAGCACTGATCTATTTAAAGTGTGTAATATAAGATTATAGTGGAGAATTAAATGTGTTATAACCTGAAAAACAATTAAATTAACAAAAGGTCTAATATTGTTGTTTGTAGTACTTCAGTTTACTTTTTCAGCTGAAATGATTCATCAGTTTTTTAGATTAATTGACCAGTCGAACAGAAAATTAACTGGAAACCATTTTGATAATTGATTAATCATTTAAGTTATATTTTCAATAAAAAATTAGCACATTTTCTGGTTTTCTACGTCCTCTTTAAAAGGAGATTTAACATCTTACTGAACATTTGACACTCTGGTTTCTGACTTAAATACCAAACAGTTCTTTCTAGTTTGGGGCGCAGTTCAATGTAGCCTCACACTGATTATACAGGTGTCAATCAATTGATCAGTTGATTGATTAACTGTATTTCTGTGTGTGATCAGGAGGAGAGATCACCTCCACCTTCGACCATCCTGAGCTGGTGAAACTCGGTCACTGCAAACTGATCGAGGAGGTGATGATCGGAGAGGACTTGCTCATCCACTTCTCTGGAGTCGACATGGGTACGGACACACACACACACACACGTATCAATTAACGGGTTCAGTTTGACCTTTGACCCCTGACTCCCTTTCCCTCTCCCTCAGGTGAGGCGTGCACCATCGTCCTGCGAGGAGCGACTCAGCAGATTCTGGATGAGGCGGAGCGCTCGCTGCACGACGCTCTGTGTGTGTTATCTCAGACTGTGAAGGAGCCACGCACCGTCTGCGGAGGAGGTACACACACACACCTATATAAAGAGTGGGAAGTGCCGCGATAACTGTTGTGTGACATTAACATGAAAGGCGCTCTGAAACATGCGTAACCTGAGTAATGTCGGGTTCAGACTACGCGATAATGAGGTCTCTATAGCTAATTTCCCACTGTACGGAGGCTGAATCTTTATAAAACTCACCAGTTTAAATAACATTAAGGCTTAAAGTTAGCCAGGAGCCAGCAGAGTCAGGACAGCCAGGACGGTGACGGCCAGATCCGACCACACTGAGCTTCACAGTGGCTCTTCAGGAACCTGTGGGGGACTTCACAGAAACCACGTTCATTTTTAATTATAGGATCTACGGTTGTCCCCAATTACTAGTAGCTTACCTCCCTTTCAAGACCTGCGTGATGTCAACAGGAAGGAGGTGTTAGGGACTGACTTGTCTAAAGCACAAGTCCGATCCACTGCCCCACAACATAAATATATAAAAGGTCGAGGGTTAGCAACTAAATGTACGCAGGCATCCTTAAGGTTAAAAGTGTGAACTTCTGAGCTGTATAATCGGGAAAAATAAATATAAGATTGTGGAAAACATTCCCTGTTCCTGCGCACACTTTATTCTAACTGTCTCTCTCCGTCAGGCTGCTCCGAGATGCTGATGGCCAAGGTGGTGACCGATCTGGCCAATAGGACGCCAGGAAAGGAGGCAGTTGCCATGGAGTCGTTCGCCAAGGCTCTGAGGATGGTACGGACCCGCTCGTCTTTTTATGTTTGAGCCCATTAAGGACTAAATCCTGTTTATCTTTTCCAGATCGATTTCCTTCCACTGAAAAACTTTAAGTAGTTCACTTTGTTTTTGTGGGGTTTTTTTATTATTATTGGAAGTCTCATCTCTGGAATCACATTAATATTGCTTTAAAAAGTTTTAGATTTTAAGGGGTTGTTCAGTCTGACAGCGTTCATGTGGAGAGGGAAAATAAAACCGATCCCATCAGAGCTTCAGGAGTCCTTGTACGGTCTCTTGTTGATCCAGTATTTCTCTTATTTTCTCTTCAAGCTGCCGACCATCATCGCCGACAATGCCGGCTACGACAGCGCCGACCTGGTGGCTCAACTGAGAGCCGCACACCAGGAGAACAAGACCACCTACGGACTGAGTGAGGGACCCTTTAATCATACACATAATATTTTTGACATGGCTCAAGTTTAAAGGAAATTAGACCCATAGAGTGCGGACGAGTTAGCATTTTAGCACCTCGAAGTTTACGTGTTCTCTGTTTTTTTGTGATATTCCTGAAATAAGATCTGTGGTTAACAGCGTTTTACAACATAAAACATGTCAGTAAATACCTAATCTTAAAAAAAAAAAAGAGGTTGCAAACAAAAGGCTACAGAAGCCACCAGGTGTCGCACTAGAGCACCAGCATCTCAGACTGAAACCCACCAGACTCCATTGACAAAACCAGTGATTTTCCCCAAGCAGATGATTGAAAAACAAACTTAAAACACAAGAAACCAAAAAATTAGCAACTCTTGGTTCTTTTTACCACAAGACGTATTCAAATCTCACACAATTAAATTAATAAATTATACTTACAAAAAGTTCAACTTTATCATCCCACCAGGAGAAATATAAATGACACAAACATAAAATATGGAAAAACACACTAAATATCGGCAGTCTTTTGTTAATGGTGGACCTTTTTTTTTTATATAAGTTTATATATTAGAAACTCACTTGACACTGGGAGTCACGCTAGAGCATCTCAGACAAAACTAGTCTTTCCAACAGCCACCAAAGCTGGTTTGGTCTAAATAAATCCTTAATTCAGTCATTCATTAGATGTGTTGTTTGTTCCACTAACAGTAGTAGTTTGTGCCACTGACAGACTCATGTTGTTATTGTCAGTGGTCTGACAGCATTATTGAAAGGATCCCGTTACAGAGGATGGACTTTCAGGTTAACCACAAGCAGCCCGTAATACTCACTATCCACCTCTCCACCAGACTCCAGAGACACAAACACTCATTTTACCTTCAAGATCATCGTACCTCATTCAAAGTGAACAGAAACAGAATTAAGAACTCATTAAAAATGCGTCTCTGTTAGTGTTTCCAACAATCACCAACTTTCCTTTTGGACAAACTTTGATGAATGTGTGTATTTTTTTTCCCCTGCAGACATGTCTGATGGGACAGTGGGCAACATGACCGAGCTGGGCATCACAGAGTCCTTCCAGGTGAAGCGTCAGGTGCTGCTGAGCGCCTCTGAAGCTGCTGAGATGATCCTGAGAGTGGACAACATCATCAAAGCTGCACCAAGGTCGGTCCATCGTCCATATATCGTTTTGTATCTTTAGTTACACTTTTAGTTGATTAGCGTTGAGTTTAAAGTTTCATACAGTGCCTGAATGCTGTGGAAAACTGTAGAGTCCTTAATGAAAGGTGCATTTATTGACTGTTTGTTTGTTTTTGTAGGAAGAGAGTTCCCGACCATCACCCCTGCTAGAGGAAGAGGAGGATGAAGACGAACGGGGAGGGATCAGTTTTGTTATTTATCACCTGTGTAGTTCAAATTTAAAGAAACGCTCCGCTGTCCACCGTCTGTCAACCTATCCCTGTGGAAGCACTGCACAGGCTAGCTGGCTAATGCTAGCTAACCATCAGACACCGCTAACTTCAGTGCTAACGCTAGCAAGAAACAAGCTAATCATATATATATCTATATATAGATATAGACATAGATATAGATATATAGCTGGTGTCAACAGAAGTGTGAAGCTAACATTAGCGGAGGTCACAGCTCTCGCTGGAAGCTGGTTACGCTAACGTTAGCCCGTTTGTGCCGCTCAGAATGCAAGTTTGGACGTTGTTTGTTTTGTTTACTGAAATAAATGAACCAATCCTCATCAGAAGATTTGTTTGTCGTGTTTGTGCCTCTTCTTAAATGTTTTTACTCACACAGTTCAGATATTTCACTTCTTCCTCCAGGTTTTCAGCTGTATTGTCGCTGAGTTTCAACCACAAAGTATAAAGAACGATATTTCCTACAGAGCCCGAATTGGACCAAAAAAGGTGCCTGTACCCTAATTGTCTGTGTGCTGTTATGCCAAACTGTATTAATTAGGTAATCTCAATCCACCGTGTACTCCCAACTCCAATTAAATGTTGCCATGGCAATTGTACCTGCTGTGTGTCTCCTGAGTCAGAGATTTGTGCCGAGGGACACCTCATGATTATGCTTCTAGCACCCAGACCGTAACTCCCATCACCAAGTGGGATATTTTCAGCACAACCCTGACCCTGAACACAACATACCCTTAATTATTTTACCGTTTTGTATTCATTCATTCATTGTTTTCAACAAGCACTAGCTATGTGTTTACACAGATACACAGTTCAGTTGTTTTCAGGCTCACCAGAGGTGGTGGTAACCAATAAAAAGTAAGAGCAAGAGTGCCGGCCCATTTCAGTATGTAAAGAAAACACTCAAGTATCTCAAATTTGACACTAAATAAGTCATATAAAGTTGTAGATAATGTCAAGCTATTATTCTAATGATCACTAATGTTTTATATCAATCCCTCCAGTAACTGTTGAGGTATTTGACCCAAAGTGTTGGACTGACTTCCCTAAAGGAAGACGGGAAGAGATATTGTGAAAATAAAGTATTCATGTTATTCAGTAGTTGGCACCGTCTGCTTTGTTGGGTCAGAGTGACTGAGACCTCAGAGTGTCAACAGACTGAAGTTACCCAACAAGACCGGATATTTTCAATTTGTGCCCATAAATCCTCCTCCTAAATGCTGCACACTGCACCTTTAAATTACTGCTGATGAGTCTTAAATTTAAGAAAGAGGTTAAAGGAGCATAAAGTTGCATAAAACAGAAAAAAAACTACCTCTGATTTGTAATTTAAATTAAAGGTGAAGTCAGTTTTGGGGGTGGATTTTCTCACAGAGCCTTAGATCCAATCAGAGCAGCACTGAATCCTAATAAACTTCTCATTGTCTGCTAACCAGCAGTCACACAGACAGACTCACAGGCAGACAGACATGTTGAGGCTGGTGTTGGTGGTGGTGCTGTTGATGTGGACATGGACGAGCTCAGCGCTGGTCAGGTAGGAACAAACACCCTCCATTAAAATCAGTGTACAAGTACAGAAACTGCCGGCTACTTAGTTCAAGAATGTACCTTTTTTAACCTCCATCCTCCATAATTTCAAGATTTAACTCCTAATTGACAGTTTAATTTCATCTCAGGGTCCCGAAACACTTTAAAGTTTGAGTCGAATTTGTTTTACATTAAAAAAATATTTTTAAAAAGTTTTCAAAGCTCAATTATTCCTGGAAGTTTTCTTTTTTAAGGGAAAACGTTTTAGGAAATAAGTAATCTCTTATTAATCTCTCTATCCAAGAGATTAATACGACTCTCACTGCAGTAAATATGAAGCTACAGCTAGCAACCAGTTAGCCTAGCTTAGCATAAACAGCTAGCCTAGCATATCACTCCCCCATTGTTTTTTTTCTGTGTGAATAAACAGACAAGATATATTAATTAGTGAGCTTTAGAGGTGCTGGTAAGTGGATTTTTTAGCTGTGGACGTGTAAAATATCTGTAAAATAGTCAAATATCCGAGTTTTCATCACAATTAAAATAATATTTATGTTTTTTTATTTGTTACCAGTATTTACATAGACGTTAATCATGTTCTGTCCCACTCAGTATTACCTAACCCGAACACTGACAGTATATAATTGGGTCTGTGATATGAAGCCAACACTGAAGCCTCATTAAGTAAAAATATTAATAAAATTACAAAAACAGTCTGCAAATTCACATGTCCAATGTAAAATAACAGGAAAAATATGTAAATAATGATAAAAATGACTGCTTATTTGAAAGAAAATGCCCTTTTTTTCACATAAAAAGATTAAAATACATTTGCTACTTAATGTTTATTTAATAGATTGAACTGTTAAATTCAATTTTAATGTATTTAATGTATATAAATTGTCATAAAATAATGTAAAATTTGTAAAAAAAGCAAAAAAAAAGTTATTGTAATTTTAGAATGATTTGTTTAATTGAAGATGATATTGAAAGAAATAATAATCACTGTAATTGTAATATATATGTTATTTTACAGTATTTTTTAGTGCCCAGCTGCCAGAATATTATCTTTTTTTACTTTTTACTTGACTTACTAGGCTACCTTGTGATTGACAAGACAAGAAACTCAAAAATGAACCCACTCATTACTGCATTGACTATTTCTCACCTAAAATCCTAGAAAAATATTTAACTATTCCTTTAAGAAATGAATCAATGGGACACTAACATTTTAACCCCAGATATTAAAATGTCACCTTCTCAGGATCCCTCTGAGGCGGACAAACTCGATTCGCACTCAGCTGCGAGCTGACGGCCAGCTGCACGAGTTCCTGAAGAATCACCGTCCTGACATGTTTAACCGGCGTTATGCTCAGTGCTTCCCGCCCGGCACGCCGTCACTGCGGCTCGGACGCTACAGCGAGAAGATCTACAACTACATGGACGTGAGAACAAACTTAGTGTTAAACGTTTCCTTTGAGACTATAAAATTATTATTTTCCATGACTATATCACTGTTTTCAGGGTATTATTTCAGGGTTCTCGCTATTGAGTATGTTTATTTTTAAAAATGTATTTAGTTTTTTTTATATATATTATAGATTTATTAAATTTTTTCATTTCTAATTATTGTTTTCAATTCAGTTTAGTTTAAGTTAAGGGACTTCATGATTTAAGAATTTAGAATAGTTCAGTCTCAATAAATAAAAGAAACAATGCCATTTCCTGTATATTTTTATTTTTATTTCAGTTAACTTAACACCTAGTTTTGGTTTTAAGTTTAGTTTTTTTGTGAACTATTATAACTTTGGTGTGTGGGACAGTGTCATTCTTGATGCTACCACAGGTGGCGCCAAAGTATTTAACTTTTTATTCCTACACACACCGGCTTTATGAGCTTGAGTATTAAGTCAGGCATCCAACCAGCAACCATTTCTCATAACACCACGTTTATTTGTTTGTTTGTTTTGTTTGTTGTGCTATAGACTTCCATTGTGTCTGTGTTTATTGTCAGGCTCAGTATTATGGTGAAATTACTTTGGGGACTCCGGAGCAGAACTTCTCTGTGGTTTTTGACACCGGCTCATCCGACCTCTGGGTGCCATCTTCCTACTGTGTCAGCCAAGCCTGTGGTACCCGAGCACTACACAATACTACACAACACTACACACACACACACACACACACACACACGCTGCACTACTCACAAGACAATATAACACTACAGTACACAACTCATCCAAGTGTTTGACTTTGTATAAATATTTTAAAGGGGGTTGTGTTTGTGGGTCAGGACAACATGACAGTATGGTTTAATGTGTTCATGACTGTGATAAGAAGTTCAAGGTCTGTGTGTGTGTACTTACTTGTATTACTGATGTTGTGGGGACATAAATCTGTTTACACAGTCACATTGTGGGGCCTCTACTTCCTTTTGGGGACAAAACGCCAGTCACCATAATGTAGATCAGTGGTTCCCAATCTTTTTCCTAAAGGGACCCCTTTTCTATCATTTGGTAAACTGACTGGCATATTTTATGGATATTCTATCTTAAAAACTGTACAATTAACCCAAATAGTAACAGTAAAGGAGGTTTTTTAAAACAAGTGATTTGGATGAATTTTGAGCAGAATATTTCCTGATTTTCCTAACTTTTTATACAATTAATATTAGCTCATTGGTTGTTTTCTAATGCAGGACAAGGCTGTTTATGAGAGAGTAAAGGCTCTGTAAATATAACTTGTATTTAGGTCTTAAAAGTTTGGATCCTAAATAAATCAAAACTTTAAAAATAACAATTTAATTTACTTTTCTTCACAGTAATGAACCAAATGCTAAGATAAAGGCCTACTGTGTATAATTCTTAAAGTTACTTACACCCCTTACAATCAAGAAGGCCATGTGACCCCCTGTGAAGGTTGGGAAACACTGATGTAACCTTAGGTTTAGGTTAGGGGTAGTCAAGTAGGGGTTATGGTTATGGTAAGTCTCAGGAATTGAATGCAAGTCTATGTAATGTCGTCTGAAGTGATGTAAACACAACTGTGTGTGTGTTCACAGCATTACACAGGTGTTTCAGGGCATTTGAGTCAACTTCATTCCATCATGATGGTCGAATGTTTGGGATTCACTACGGATCAGGACACCTGCTGGGAGTCATGGCCAGAGACACACTGAAGGTCCTTTCTATTATACTCTCCAAAAAAAATTTAAAGTTGGGGTATCCTGTTGGCCAAATAGTTAAGACCAGGGATCTCAAACTGCACTTGATGCCACACAACCGCAATGTCTTATTTATTAAGATCATACCAAACCAACTTGAGGAAACCTCAAACGTGTAAGGGTTTGTGGGCAAACAGACACTGATGTTGCCCACAATTCCTCACAGGAGAATAAAATCTTCTCAAATCTTTAAAGATTTGTTTCGACCCCATGCAGAAGCTGAAGAAGTATTCTGTTGTGTAATATTTTGTAATCCTTTGTCTTCTGGTCCAGGTTGCGGGTCTGTCTGTCATGAACCAAGAGTTCGGGGAGTCAGTCTACGAGCCTGGTGGCGCATTTGTAATGGCGAGGTTCGATGGTGTCCTGGGGATGGGTTACCCGTCTCTGGCAGAGATCCTTGGAAACCCTGTTTTTGACAACATGTTGGCGCAGAAGACGGTGAAGGAGCCTGTCTTCTCCTTCTATCTCAGCAGGTGCGACTTCACCGGTTGTCAAGAATTTTATATCTCGTTTTTTTTTCCAGACCAAAGCCAAGACTTACAAGTTTGTCTGTTTTCTAGCATTCATACTGGGAGCTAAAGGGTTTCAGGAGACATTTGTAAGGATAGTACAAGGAGTGCAAGCGTTTTAGGAGCAGCCAAAGGGTTACAAAGATTTAGAGCATTCTTTTGCTATTTTGGGGGGTCCACTGGGCTTCAACGGTGTCTAGCTAGAGCTTCTGGACACCAAATGCACAGATGAACTGTGTTTCGGAGAGATCTCTGTGTTTTGGTGTTCCTATAGCTTCCAAGGTTGTCTAAATTTCAGGGTGTTTCTGAGGAGCCCAAGAGTTGCAGCAGAGTTTAAGGGTCTCAAGGTAGTCTAAGGGTTTCCAGGAAATTCCAGAAATTATTCCAAGACAGTCCTCATGGTTCTTAAGGAATCATGTGGTCTAGAAGGTTTTGGGATATTCTAAAGTCGTCTGAGGGGTTTGCGGGTATCCAAGAGTCCAAAAGTTTAAAGGTCTAGGGTTTTAGGGAGTTTTCAATACGGTTTTCATCATTTTAGGAAAGTCCATGAGCCACAGAACACAGAGACTGAATGTTTGGTTGAATTGATAACCTTCCAATTCTCGGGATGTGCTTCGAAGCATTTGGTCTAGAAGGTTTCTGGCTAATTCAAGAACTCCCTGGGATCTACGGATTTCCAAGCAGTTAGAGGGTCGTCCAGAGGTTTGAAGGACTTTTCGAAGATGTTTTCTGTGTTTTAAGAATATAGTTTAGTATTTGGGTGGATTAACAACTTGCTGACTCTCAGGACATGGTTTAAGACATTTGGTCACAAGGGATCCAGGAAAATATTATAGGGATTTCCAGGGGTCTTAAAAGTTTGGATCCTAAATAAAATCTAAACTTTAAAAATAACAATTTAATTTACTTTTCTTCACAGTAATGAACCAAATGCTAAGATATAGATTTGGTCACAAGGGATCCAGGAAAGTATTATAGGGGTTTCCAGGATTTCACAGTGCCAGGAGGGTTCAGAGGACTCTGGGAATTCAACATCCTCAGTAGTGGTGTGATAATGAAGGGTTTGAGGTCCTTTACTGACCATAAACAGAAAATAAATTGCAATTTGTTGTCCTTGCAGGAAAACAAGTAGCAGTAACCCAGAAGGTGAACTATTGCTTGGTGGAGCAGACGAGGAGTTGTATACGGGACTAATCAACTGGCTCCCTGTGACTGCTAAGGGATACTGGCAGATTAAGATGGACAGGTTTCCCACATTTTTAATATCGTGATTCTATGTAATTAATGACTTCATCAACGTACTCTTAACCCCAAGTTGAAGTCCTGTCCTTGTACTAACAACAAGTGATAATTTTCAAAAATGTCCACATCCAACATCTCAGTTGTGTTGTGTTGCAGCAACCACTAGATGGTAGTCCAAGCAGGATTGTAAGACAGTTAAGTTAGTTACTCTTAAAATCAGGGGAAACAGAAAAATGCCCTCACTTGGAAGGGTTTTTATGTATCTTTGTAAGGAGATGTATTCCTGAAGGTAATATAAAAACAATAAAAACTTATGATGTCTGTGTATGTTTCAGTGTGGCGGTGCAGGGTGTGAATTCGTTCTGTCCACATGGTTGCCAGGCGATTGTTGACACTGGAACCTCTCTTATCGCCGGGCCGACCAATGACATCCTCAGCCTTCAGCAGTTGATTGGAGCCACACCTACAAACATAGGAGAGGTTAAAAAAAATCTAATTGTGTTATCTAAATCTTCTGGATAATACTTAAAACTTACAAAAACAACATACATAAACAAACAACACTACATAGATTAAAACAGATTTTTACTTTTGGTTAAATTTGTTCCAGTTCCTTATCGACTGTGCAAGATTGTCCAGTTTGCCTCATGTGACATTCATCCTGGGAGGAACAGAGTACACACTGACTGCTGAGCACTACGTTAGGAAGGTGAGGGAAGTTTGTCATTCTGTCCAAGCTTTCTCTTCTTTAGCTTGTCTTTAGCTGCCTTGACATTGTTAGCACGTAGGGTCTATCTCAGAAATGTTTTTCAGAGAACATTGGCTGTCGTAGGGAAGTATGTCACTGTCAAATGTTTTGAATCAAAAGGTACTGAGAAAAACAATCATTCGTTTAGCTATATTTTTTATGTTTCACATGTCAAATAAACTTTAACATAAATACACAGTATGATACTGAAATGTTGCCCTTTCTCTGTCTCTTTCTCTATCTCCAGGAAATGCTTGGCGACAGGGAGTTGTGTTTCAGTGGTTTTCAAGCTGTGGACATTTTTTCCTCCGAAGGCCCTCTGTGGATTCTGGGAGATGTTTTTCTGACAGAGTTCTACAGCATCTTCGACAGAGGACAGGACCAAGTTGGCTTTGCCCGTGCTAAGCACCCAACCGAAGACTGAGAGATCGGTCATCAGTAACTGACAACTGTATGATCAATAAATACTATACAATTAAGAAGAAAGTAAAAGCATTTTGTTATTCTTCCAAAGGCACCAACAAGCTATCAGCATTGTTCTTAAAATATCCATCATTCTCATATCTATTTTGCAATTTTTTGAGAATCTAGTCATATGATACCAGATGATTGGAGATGTTAGCGCCAACCAATCGTCTGGGGGTTTCTAAATGCAAAGTAGTAGCTTAAACGGTAGCGAGCACGGCGGTACAAGTCAGTCACAACTTTTTATTTAAAAAAGTACAGTTTTTGGTGATTCAGCAGCAGCAACAGATACTGTATAATCATTACTTTAGTTACATTTACAAAAACAGACAAATAAACAGTAACTGTTATCACATGAAGACAGAAGATTCTGTGCTAGAAAAGAGTTTCTTCTAGAAACCTCTAAAGTCCAGTCAGTAATCCTGAGTACTTGATTTTATCAGAAGTCACCACAGTTGGAGCCAAAGCTGAAGTTTGTTCAGCTGCAGTTCCTCTAATGGCCACTAGATGGCATCCTAGAAAACGTTGACTGAATTGAAGTGAGTGCGAACACCGCCAACGTTTCTTTAGAACGTTCTTCCAGAACAGGTTCAGCTCTTGGTGGCTGTTTTCACTTCTTTTAATGTGAGTTATTCTTCTATTAAGAAAATAAAAGAAATATATCACCCTCATTTGTGGCAGTCATTGCTTGGTTTTACCACCTTTGCCCAAGTTGCCCGTTTTTTAAGCTTAAGAGTTGATTACCAGTATTCAGATTCTTTTGTATCTTTTGTGTTCTTTGCAGTACCATCTTAGGGTTTGGGTTTGTCTCCAGTGACAAAGCTGTAACTCCAGTGTTCAAAAGACCACTTAAGGAGCCAGAGTTTACTAAGCATTTCTTGGTTCAAATCAACTTTTTGATTGATGAGAGATTGGCTCTGTTTGAGCAATATTATGTTACTGTGAGTTGTTCTCATTTTTTTCCAAGCTCTGTGATTCGGAGTCTGGGTTTTTGCTGTTGTTGGTTCCTTCTTTGTCGTCGTCCTCGGTCCCTGCCATTCCCTGGAATTCGTGGTCGTACTCGTCAGGGAGCTGCAGAGTGTCCGTAGTTGGACCAGGTGATCGTCGGGATTGGAATCGAGCCAGGCCTCGTCTTCGCCTTCCAAGAGCCTTGGGGCTAGGTAGGCTGCGAACCGACCCTTTTGACGACTGCCTGGAGAACTGGAGGGAGAACTGGCGTCCCCGTGGCCGTATTGGTGGGCGATTCTGGACATGTTGTGTTGTCCAGCGAAATTCCTTGGGTCCCAGCTGGGTGGGGGAGTAACAGACTGAGGAACCGGTCCTGGAAATACAAACAATGAGTCACAAGAATGACTAGTTTCATTATGGATCATGACACTTTGATCAGAAAGCCAACAAATTACCTTTGGGTATCCAAGCTCAGTGTCTCCTCAGTGGGGGAGGGATCCAGTCCATTCTGAAGTTTTGCTGCTTCACCATTGCCAGAAGAATCCATGGTGTGACAGACGTCACCGGACAACGGCGGACTGACGACCAGCCGGGGGAAAACAGAAGAGGGTGAGCTTTCAGGGGATGGAGGGTTGCTGCTGACCTCCCTTAAGGTGGACAGGGTGTCCATGGCAGAGGGGGGCATGACCAAGGAAGATGGTGGACCCACGTCCTCTGGACGTGGATGGACCCTGGATGGATTGACAGTGTCAGAAGGACCAACTGTTTGACCAATGCAGACTGTTAACCATTGAGCCACCTTGCTGCCCAATAATGAAATCTGCCAATATAGGTACCTTTAGTACTTTAAATGGAGCAATTCTGTACCTGAAGTCTGGGAAGAAGCTTCCTGTTGCATCACTGCTGTGTCGTTTGAAGATGGGTCGAGGAGGTCGGAGGTCTGGAGGCTCTTGAACACTCAGCAGCCGGCGAACTCGACCTAGAACCTACAAACATAAAAAATGTGACTAAAAATATACATTTATATTTGTAAAAGTACAATCTGTATACTCTCTTTCCCTGGAAAGCTGTCTTATTCCATTCAGGACTCTCCAAAATTAGAGCACATACTTCTACCGAAGCTGTACAATCCTGTCTGTTAAGTGGTGTTTTCAATAGCCTGCTTATTGACTGAAAAACAATTATACAGGGCTAAAAACATCTTTGACACAGGTAATAAAAATCATACCGATTCTTGGCGTGAAGCAAAAATAGGGTCCTGATGCCGTGGACGATTGTCGCAAACATCAGCATCATCGAACTGCAGGATATCAGACAGTCTGGAAGAGAGATTGGACAAAAGTTTTTCATTTTGCTGATTGAACTTTAACTAATTATCCAACAGCCAGTCACAATACGTTACTTTACTGCAAAATACATTGATGATAATTCAATTCCTTCAAACATTAAAATTAAGACACAAGTTAAAACGTCTCCCTGAGTAACAGTTGCCATAATAACCGAAGTGGGTTACATACTTGACTTTAGCAAATCAGCGTGTTCGATGGAAGTTCAGTTTGTAATATGTTCAGATATGTGTCTGTGTATGCTGACCCCATGTCAGTGGTGGAGCCAAGGAATGAAGGGATGCAGTAGTCAGCAGCAGCCAGCGTGTACGGAGGACGTGCCTCGCTGTCATTCCAGTACATGTCTTTAGTCATATGAGGCAGGTTCATGTGCATCTCATCTACAGCCAGCAGAGACACCTGGAGGGACAGTTTAACGGGAAGTGACGACATTAGTTTATAATCACCTGAAAATAAGAATTGTTGTGTTTTTGATACTTTAGAATGAGACATTTTTATTTACAGAGCTTGGAGTTTCGCCGCCACCGTAGTTTCCCCTTCGCGCGGGGAAACAGGTTTCAGTTGGTTGGCCACTAAATCTTACACACTGGACCTTTAAGCTCATTCACTCAACAATTTGTTAAGTTTTGCCCTAACCAATCAGTAGCAAGGAGTATTTTCTTTTCATTAATCAAAGAAATATGCTGATTTTAGAGTTATTTCTGAAAGTCAGCAATACACGTTTTTCGCCATTTTCTCATGAATGTAGTTGAATAGTTAGCTAACTCTGTACGAAGATGATGTCCCGGTTCTTAATCGTGCGTACTAAACTCTGATTGGTCAATCAGTTTCTCCAACTAGGGGACATCATAAAGCACAACACCAGAATTATTTGAACACTTAAAGATGTCTGGAACCAGGCTAACACCATCATTCTTTCAGCTAACAGTGGAAGCCTTATCTGAATGAATGGGTTTCTACTGGCCTAGACGGTAAAACCTGAACATGTCAAGAGTTTTCAAACCTCACTGACCTGAAGGTTCCTGTCGATGATCCAGTTAGCTTCAAAGTCATCGTCGTCCTCTCCGAACGGGTTAATCAGCTGCTCCGCTACCTAACAACAAGGCACAAATCATATCTGGTATTCAGACTCACTGTTAAGACATGACTTCACACACAAGCTAAGATTTTTCTGACCCTTTCTTCTAGTGCGACACACAGGACCAACTTTAAATCTTTAGTCCCATTACTTGTGGCTCTCTGGCTTATGTCCACCAAGTAAGTTATTAATAACTTTATATGGTGAGTTATTAATAACGGTACAACAGTTAAAGGTCAACCACGTGCCTGTTTATTTTAGTGTGATAGAATAGAATATAAATGTTCAAATATGTGATATATTGATTATTTTGCTTTAAGTAACAAAATTCAACATCAACAATTATAAAAATGTATTGAATACTTCATCATTTTGTAACTTAAACTCTTCTCCTACGATCCAATTTGAATATCAGTGTACAAAGATAATTTTCCATCTGGCTAGCTTCTTGTGCTTGCAGGTAATCCAAGAATTAATCATAAACTTGTCAATATACACAGTTTTTGTCAACCATTAAACATTTACAGTTTTGTACTTGCACAGGTTTTATGTCCTTAAATGAAACACTAGATTTCTTAAAACTGTTTTTTTTTTTCTCAATTAAATTATTACAAGACAGTAAAGTCTGGACAAACCACACATAAATGTCTTAAATATGTATTAAAGTATTAGAAGTTGATTAGATTAATGAAGTTAACTATATTGATCGTGTACTAAAAAAAATAATGGAACCAATACAGATTTTCCTTCATACTTTTTTGGACGTAAAATAGGTGTTAAACTTCTTTCTTAAAGGTCTTTAAAAGTGTGTAGGAGGACTGTACAGCCAACTGGAGGTGAGTGAACTTTGGAAAATTAAGATAAGTTCAAGTAAAGCTGTTTATTTACAGTAAACTAGACAACCAAAAATATACACCAGTGCAATAGACTCCGTTTTCGGATGTCGCTTCATCAGATTCAAACCAATGAACCTTGAAGTCAGGGGTGTGTCTAGTGTCTCGTCTTATGGTAGCACGTTAGCAGTTTACAGGTGGTATGAATGTGTTTGTGTATCTGAATATTTCTGCATTCTGGGGTCCCTGTACTGAAATTAGATAAATTGGAAAACTGAGACACAAAACTTCATGCCATCTCTGCATAAGTCAGTGCCCCACTTGCTCCACCGAAAAGTTGACCCTGCTTTGAAGCTGAGAGCGACAGAAAGGAAGTCAGAAAAGTACTGACAGGCGCACCAACAGGTTGTTGGTTTCGGTCTGTTTGTATTGGACTTGTTTATATTCAGAAACATATAAAACAGGCCACACCTTCAGCCAGCCGGAGTAGAAAAAAAACTGCAGCAGGGTGAAGACGGGGACATAGAGGTCGAGGTCGTGGCCTTGGTAACCTTGGTCGGGGTCAAGGAACTGACGACCAATCAGACAAGCGAAGAAAAAGGTGTAGACGGCCAGAGTGACGACCTGAAGAGAGAGAGAGAGAGAGACTTTTACTGTACATCCCTCCCTCTGTCTGTCTGTGTGGGAGACTCAGAGCACTGATTGGGTTACGGTAATGATGGAAGATGATTACTGATGTGATTAGATGAGCTACAGTTACATCCGTTTTAAACATGTTATGGTGACAGATGTGAGACAGGGAACAGAGAGACAGGCCTGTGTGTAAACCAGCGGGATGCCGACCCAGTCATAGCCAAAAAGAGTCGCGCACCAAGTCCTGAACAGATTCATCTCCTGAAGAGAGACACACAGAGACACAAAGAGTCAGTAGGGACGTCGGTTTGGCAGCGATCACCAAACCCAAATTTCCGTGCTGAATGGAAGAACGGCCCCACCCGCCCTTCGGGAGCAAGCTGGGTGTCACGTTACCTACATGTCTGGTTTATGCGGTCATTCACTAACAGGGATTTAGACTCTAAGTGCGGCTGCATAAGTGCCATTTTATGTTTGACAAGATCTGTTTATAACCTAATGGGACACTTCAGTGCTGCACCAGAGCGAGCCTCAGAGTGCTTCTGTTCAGCCCTCTTACAGGCAGTCAAAGTTTTTTAGTTTCAGTAATGTGATGTAGTGAAGTAGAATATGTGGGCGGAGTTAAATCAAGTTCAGAACATGTGATTGGATCACTCAAAGGTAGGCGTGGCTTAGCGAATACAGCACAGTATAGAGCTAAAGGTGGTGGAAGTACATTTACATAAGTACAAATTTTAGGAAATGTAGTTTTTACTTTAATTATTTTACAAATTAAATTTTGGCTTTAAAAACATATGATGAGACTTTTTTATATATAAATTAAACTACCCAATAGTTTATACAAGTACAGCTGAAACAATTAGTCTATTAATCAATTAGAAAATTGATTGGCAACTATTTTGAGAATTGTTTAGATAATTTGTAATGTAAAACAAATTCCGTGGCTCTAGCTCAAATGTGAAGATTTGCTGCTTTTACTTGAATTATTTTAATAATAATTATAATAATTTTGAACCAACTACAACAGTAAAATCTTGCTTTAACTTATTAATGTATGAGTGATAATAATCTAATAATATCATATATAATTGTACAACAGTAACAGTTCAACACTTCATTTTGCTGATTATACTTTTACTTAAATGTATTACAAGGAGTTTTAAGTGGTTATGAAAAAGTTTTAATTTAATCCTGATGACGACCTACATAAACAAACAAGAGAGAAGATCGGATATTTCTTTATAGTTATTCTTAATGCCTGCCACCGGGTCGGATTCCCCTTGAAATCAATGAAACAAGGCGGTAGAAACATTACCGCCTTTGTCCACAGGGGGCGCCAGAATCAACACAATATACAAGTTTCTCGTAGCTGCTTTAAGTAACGTTTCAATGCAGGACTTTTTATTATTTTTATGGTGTAATATTAGTACTTTTAGTCAAGTAAAGGATCTTAAGGACAAGACTTAAATTAATACATTCTCCACTGTATAATTTGCTCTGCTAGCTACCCACTAGCTAACAGTTAAATCCAGTTTTATATGACAGAATTAGGAAAATGTGTTCTTTTTATTTCACTATGTGACTAGTTTTTTCCTGTTGAGGCTTCCCACCCTCTGAATATCTATACATTAATGTTTTGAGGCAGAATATAAAAGGTTTATTGTAATCCCATGTGTCACATTGAGAATGTTCTGCAGGTCGATGCTGTCTTGGATGCGTCCTTCCTGTCGAGCTTTAGACGCCAAGTTGGAGAACCAGACAACAGGAATCCAGTACTTCAGGTGAGGAGAGCGGATGTTGTCAAACACCTTCCTTTCCTCCAGAGTCATAAAACCTGCAGAAGGGCAGACGGATTATTTAAAACCAGTAATCAGTGTTTTATCCCTTATGAAGGCTCTAAAACGGATCTGTTATATCACTTTAGGATTACGTTGCGTCGCAGTCTGAGAGAGGAATCAGACACGCAGGTTATCACAATCCTCTCCGCTCTCCTGCAGCAGAGTCCTGCTTTAATTGGCCGATAACGAGCCTTTCCCCGGGGCCAGATCAGACAGTTACAGGAAGAAAGAATAACATCTGGGAAGGAGCTGAACTTTATCTGACTTTCAGCACTTCAGCACGGACAGTTCAGTTACACACAAAATATATAAATACTATAGATATTGTTCACATATAGTCTCAGTAACAAAGTTTCCTTCAATCTGCAACGCTCTCACCGGCCTCGACCACGTGGTCCATGGTCGGGAAGCGTTTGCAGACGGCCGTGCTGACGGAGCGGAAGATGAGGAGCGATGTGAGGTTAACGTAGCGTATTAGCGTCCGGCGCAGCAGGCGGCCATATTCATCTTTACCCTGAACACAGCTGGAACAGACAGAGGAAACATAATGAGATAAATCACATTGTGTGTCTACATGAACAAAGTACTCCTTCTGTAGGACAAAAACAAAAGCCCACTGCTCTTAAGTAGAGTTTTTATTCTATACCTGAACCCAGATGAACCCAATTTTGGTTTGGGCTGCTGTAGGATGGACTCGGGTCACATCGGGCCCGATTTTTTGGGGGCCTGATCAACGCTCCTAAGTTGCAGTTTGGTTCAGAAGGTTCAGGCATCAAAACTACTTGGTTAGGTTTAGTAATAGTTTGGTTTGGCTTGAAATAAGTACCTTAGTTACGTCAGCTACATACATTAATTGATGACACCAGAGTGTTCGGATCAGTGGGCCTTCAATCCAATGTGATATTTTTCAGACTTTTTGGGGTTTTTGAATAATGGGCTGCTGGAACAATGGCATCAGTTTAAAACCATCATGTTCCTGGAACAAAATCCTGTCTAACTTGAACATTTTAATGGCTGAGCGGTTTGTTGAACTAGTTACGGGAAGAGCATTGAACATACAAACTCATCAGATGGTCACCATCAGGGAGGCCAATCTTCTGACTTATAAGGTAGGAAAAAACTGACTAAGAAACATCCAATCTACCAAAGTCAACACAGACCATGTAAGAAGCCACATTGGAAAAAAATCAATAATAGATCACTTTATAAGTTTGAGTTTACCTGGAGATGAGGAACATGAGTCGGTCTGTCCAGGGCAGATTAACAAACTGATTCCACCATCGATTCACCACCAGCGTCACATAAAAACCTAAAACACATCAATATTTTCACTAAATTCATATTATTTCACACAAATAAAAATTCATTATAGCAGCTTCACTCCAAACTCCAAGTAGATGTTTCTTGTTTGTTCTTTGTTTAAAGTAAATTTGAAGCTGAGGCCAGTGAATGCTTAGCTTGACTCCTATTACTGTACTCCTGCCAACACAACAACTTCTAAAACTAAAACACCAACAACAACAAGAGCTACAGCGAGTGCTAGTACTGCTTCTGCCACCAGTATTACAACAACAACACCAACTAATACTGCCCATAAAACTATAATATTGTCAACAACAGCTTTGACAAGTAATGCTACTACTCTCGGAGCTAATACTAACAAAAACTAATACTATTTCTAAAAGTAACTGAAGCTAGGGCTGTTTAAATATACAAAAGAAATTGTAAATACCAGCATTTCTAAAGCTCACAAATATAAAATGTTAATCGGTGAACTTCAGAAGTGTTGATAGGTAAATATTTTGTACATTTGGATATAGCCAGCTAGCTGTTTTCATTCTTTATGCTAAAAGCTAGGCTAATGGTAGCTTCAATCATGAGATTGATATCAATCTTCCAATCTAACTCTCAAAAGTGAATACAAAATGTTCAAGTATTACTTTAATGTGTATTTAGCAAACTGTGTCCACTCAGAAATCATATTTATTATGACTTTAACAAGTTTAGCATTAGTTTTGTGGAGCTTTATAGCATAAGATATGTGTTTTTTGGGTGTTAGCATATGTACTGTTTATAACATTTATTACATGTGAATGTTGAGTGAATGTTGTATGGATGTATTTGCTATTTTAAGTTGAGGAAACATTGGATTTGTTGATCAGGCCTGATTAAAATATAATGAGTGAATATATATAGCACCATGGGAACATATAGACACTGTGTGTTCCCTCTGATTGGGGATCAGGGTGGGGATCAGATACACAAACACTCATCCTGCTTTTAGCCATCTGTTCTTTAATGATCTGTTTCCATTAGCAGCCTGCTAATGAGGCAACCAAACAGCCTGTCTGTCGGTCTGCTGTGGCTCCTCAAACAGGAAGCAGAGTTATACTCAGAGTTTTAGAGTTTTTTTAGTCATTACAGTAGTGGAAGAAGTGCTCCTATAGTAAGTGAAAGCAGTAATACCAAATACAAACACTGGTCTGTCAGTCAGTGGGGCTGAGTGTTAAGCCCTGTTCTCAGAAGACTAATATTAGCCCGGCTCCTCCTGTGATTAATATTAATAACACCGACTGTGTTCTTTGATCCCCTGTGAATCTGACAAGTCTGTAATCTGTAAACCATTAAGAATCTGTCTGATAATGAGACAGATAATGAGACAGATTACGATCATTCATATCATATTACAAGTTAGCTATATAATTTTTCACTTGTACAAAAACTTAATCTTTAACTTTATCGCTCATACAAAAGTATAAAAACACAACTTCATCGCTCGTAAAAAAAAAAAATTTAAAACACAACTTTATCACTCGTAAAAAAGTATAAAAACACCACTTTATTGCTTCTACAAACACAACTTTATCACCCGTAAAAAGTATAAAAACACAACTTTATTGCTCGTAAAAAAGTATAAAAACACAACTTTATCGCTTGTACAAACACAACTTTATCACCCGTAAAAAAGTATAAAAACACAACCTTATCGCTCGTAAAAAAGTATAAAAACACCACTTTATTGCTTCTACAAACACAACTTTATCACCTGTAAAAAGTATAAAAACACAACTTTGCTCGTAAAAAAGTATAAAAACACAACTTTATCGCTTGTACAAACACAACTTTATCACTCGTAAAAAAGTATAAAAAACACAACTTTATCGCTCGTAAAAAAGTATAAAAACACAACTTTATCGCTCGTAAAAAAGTAGAAAAACACCACTTTATTGCTTCTACAAACAAAACTTTATCACCCGTAAAAAAGTATAAAAACACAACTTTATCACTCGTAAAAAAGTATAAAAACACAACTTTATCACTCGTAAAAAAAGTATAAAAACACAACTTTATCGAGGTGTGGTCCTGTGAGAATACAGCTGTAGTGAGTAAACGGAGAGACGTACCCAGAACGAAGGTGACGGGAATCTGTTCTGCGTATTTATCACAGTACATGGAGAGTTTCTCGAACAACCTCTTCTGCTGGTCGGAGAGGACGGTCCTGCAGCACAGAGGACACAGACATCACAAACAATAATAACCACTCAGGCAAAGTACTTAAGTACGAATCTGAGGTACTGGCTCCATTTTATGACACATTTATGAATCCACACTTGCTGCTCTAGTGAGTATTTGTGGCAGCAGGACGGTCAATGTGTGATTATGTCAGAATTGTGAAAAGTGTTCATGGTGTGTGTTTTTAATAGTCTTTGGGTAACAATGGAGCTCTACGGCACAGAGGAATAGGAAGATCAGGTTTTGATACACAAAATACTTGTTAGTACATAAATTTGCTGTTATTCTGTCTGAAAATTTGAAAAATATAGAATATAAGCAGACAGAAAAAGCACAAATTAGAACCACACTGTAAAGATTCACACAGGAATTTAGTGAAATCATCTTTTTTCATTAAATTAACATAAATATAATGTTTGTTTAAAGTTAATTAAACACAGTTGTTTGTTTTCAGGGTGATGAAAACATTGAGAACCAGGATGAAGGTTAGTATTGAATTCTTACACCTAAAATGTGATAAATTAATAAATATTTAAGTTTATTTAACAAGTTTTCTAATTCAGTTAAAGGACCAGTTTACAGGATTTAGTGGCATCTAGTGCTGAAGTATCAGATTGCAACTAACTGAACACCACTCACATCTGTATCTGATGACCTGGGAATGAGAACGAGGCTGTGAGGCGAACCTGTGTTTAGTTTGTCCGTTCTGGGCTACTGTAGAAACATGACACACTTGTAGATGTAAAAGGTTCATTCTAAAGCAGTGTTTCCCAACCTGGGGGTCGAGACCCCCACTTAGGGTCGCAAAAGCTTCACAGGGGGTTCGTGAGGCCTTCTTGACTGAATTTGACACCATAAAAGAAGACAATTCAGTCTGTATGATTGTTCAAAAATAAAAAATACACAATACAAACAGTTTGTCTTTAAAATTATCAGGAAAACTACTTTCTGATGCAATAATCTGCTCAGAATTCATCCACTGTTTTATCAGTTGTTCTCTATTGTTATTGTTATGCATTTAATATAAGATGAAATATCCATAAAACATTGTCACTGAGTTTACTAAATGATAGAAAAGAGCTTCCTTAAGGATGAAGGCATTTAACTTAATTCAACTGCTTGTACAACTCAAATATGACTTTAAAAGTTCAACTAAAGTCGAACCAACTCTAAATGAATTACAATGCAGCTTTTTAAAGGAAATATCTGCAGTAATGAAGCACTCTGCAAACATGCCACCACAGTGTGTTTATATATATATGTGTGTGTGTGACCTGTATACGACGCTCAGCACGGTGTAGAGCAGAGCGAACAGGATGAACTCTCGATACAGCAGCTTGTAGATGCTTCCTCTCCAGCGCAGCAGCAGCCGGTGGAAGCTGAAGAAGGTGGCGTTTGCTACTTTACTGGAATATGTGACGGTCATCCTGACGCAAACCTGACAATAAATAATATATAATAATAAAATAAACACTGCCGTAACATTATGAGTCTTGTTATCAATGTAAATTATAATTGTGGTTGTTTTACTCACAGAAAAAACCTCACAGGCGTCTTTGTTTTTCCTCCGCGGTGCTTCCCATCAGGCTTCTTCTTTCCTCATTTGTTTTTTCAAAATGCCAACCAACCACCGCCTCCCCCTCCATCTCTCTCTCCCTCTCTCTCTCTTTCTCTGATACTCTCTCGCTCCCACTTTCTCTCACTATGATGCTGTCCAGTTGCCCAGTAATGCCAGGCACACACACACACACACACATGCAGGTCCAGAGTTGTATTGATGATCCAGCGTAGTCATGTTTCAGCTGTGTGTGTGTGTGTGTGTGTGTGTGTGTGTTGGCATAGATAGCCGTGGAGGTAAACACGTATAAACAGAAACGCAGTCAGTGACAACATGAGGTCACGCCAGAATCACGTTGGCATCAGTACTTTTATTTTGGTTGCACTTTTAAAAATAAAAAACATTAAATAAACTCCATTAATAGAATCAATACACTGTAAAACCCGATGAGTTAGTTCAACTCAAACTGAGGGAAACAGTTTGCTTTTGTTTATTCACTTTAACAATTTAAGCAAAAATGTTATTTGAGTAGAAATAACTCAAGTATTTATTGTTAAATTAACTTGAGTAAATTAAGTTATTTGTACTGATTACATTCAGTTAAATTGAAGTAAACATCTTCGCTTCATTATTTATTTGTTTAAAAGATTACCCTCCTTTTATACTTCTATAGATACTGATTATAAAACCTTTAGACAACGATTGGAAACATCATAAATTTAATTGTTTTGCAGGTTTTTTGCGTTTCTTTTATTTAATTTTTTTATATTAATTGATTATAATTATATTAAGTATACATTATAGTTAAAGGTAAACTCTATAATGAAATATTATGGTATACATGTTTGGTAGTTAATGTATGGAATGTATATGTCCTCAATAAAGTTTCTGATTTTGATATATTGATGCTAGTTTTACTGTGACTCTCAAATGAACTGAAATAACCCTAACCCTAACCACTCTTTAATTATATCTAGTGTGAGTGTTTAATACTCAGAATATAGACTATAAAGTGAAGTATTGCTGTAAAACTCAGCCATGCGAGCGGCTGTTGTTTCTGTGCAGCAGAAATGAAGCGGAGTGAGACGTCTTCGTTTCTGTGTAATGTGTCTTCTGCGCAGCCGCACACTGAGATCTTCCCCTCCAGCGGATCATCCGTGAGGAGACCCCGTGTTACGAATGCGGCTCTCCCGCCACTGAGCGCTGCTCTGCGGTCAGTTTGATGTCGGCTCTCGGCTTTCTCCGTGAGTTGTCGGCTGCTCTCGGACCGCCGCTGCTGCTCCGCCCCGGAGGAACTGTTCGTTTGGCGGTAAAATCAAGTGCGAGCAGACAGAGACACAACGGCAGAAACATCGTAAACAGGTGAGTTTAGTTCTGACACGGTTAGTTTGTTCCTCTGTGGCTGTCCGCCATTGTTAATAACGTAGACGTATAACGGACGTTTTATAAATAACGGCTTGTTGTTACTTTTTTATTTTTTTAGGGCGCGGTGGGTATTATTAGGTCAAAAACATGGTGATATTTGTATTAAATTCAAACTCACCACCAATATAATTTAATTGTATGTGTGTGGAGTTGGTTTAATAGCACTAAATGTTGAGTATTGTCCGTTAATGTCAATGATGTGCTTTGTAAACGTACACAAGATGGCGCCATATCCCGCTGCCTGCTTCTTCTCCTTCTTCATTAGGTTTTAATGGCGGTTAACCAGCTTTATAGTGACATTACCGCCATCTGCTGGACGGGACGTGGAGCTGTAGAGTGG